CCTTTCATTAAGAGTTTCTGGCTGCTTGACTGCTTCTTCCTGAGTGTGTCTGGGAGATTTGTGGTAAAGAGCCTTCTTGATCACTCCTTCATTAGTTTCTGTTTCATCAGGAACTGGTGGAAATTTTGATTAACTGGTTTCTTCTGTGCACCTCCCTGCCTGCCTCTTACCGTCTCAAGAAATTGTGTTATTTTTCAATCTATGGTAACAATATGCAGAAAATGTGGGGAATACTGCAATCAAAACTAACAGCCTCCTTTTCCATGATCTCAGTGCCATGTTCATAAAGAAGGGCACAACGACACCAGCAGGAAGCTGTTAATTCAAGGTGTAAAGGAGCTTTGGCCGAACAGAGTCCGCTCCAAATAAACGACATAAATGGACACTGCTGGCTGAAACGGCAGTTTGTTGAAGGACCTGTGGAACCTGGGCTTTGGTTCTCCATCTGGCCGATGGTCGCAAAGCCATTGGCCAGCCTTGTTAGGGGGCTCTGCTGCAGACGTGACCCTGTGCTTACCTCTTGGTGGATTTTTTTTTCCAGCTATGTACTTTGTGGTGGTCCAGAGAGGTTTTGGCAGGTACCTCTGGCTCTGGACGTCAGAATCACTTCTCACTGCTTCTTCCTTTCCTCCACTCCAGCTCTTCCCTGCCCGTCCCACAGCCGCTACACAGAATGCGCCTCTCCCTGCCCGGCCACCTGCTCCAACCTCTACGCCCCGGCCAGCTGCCAGCGCTCCACAACCTGCGTGGAGGGCTGCACCTGTGAGCCCGGCTACGTGCTAAGTGACAACAACTGTGTCGCCATGAGGGACTGCGGGTGCGTGGACTCTCAACAGGATTACTATAGCGTAAGTGGAGGAGACTCGCGAGGATGGAAGCAGGTCTCCAACCTGGTCCTGCCCTCCAGAGGTGTTAGCCTGTCTTCATGGCAGAGCTTGGAAAAATTTCCTCTTTAGGACCACAACTCCCAGAATCCTCCTGCCAGCTTGTAAAAGAAGCCACTTTTCTGAGCCCTGTGCATGATGCCCACCCCCTCTTCTGCCTTTCCAGCCCGGAGACACCTGGGTGACCTCTAACTGCCGTGAACGCTGCACCTGCGCGGGAAACGGAACTATCACCTGCCAGGACTTCCAGTGTCTCTCGGGATCCTTCTGCACTCTCAGTTCTGCGGGGCTTCGCTACTGTCGGCCAACCCGTGAGTGAGCGCAGCCACAACCTGAGTCCATAGGGAGTGGAAAAAGCGGGGCCTTCCAGAGGCACAAGGGGCCGGGCATGGACAAGACCAGCTTTCCAGCCTATGGGAAATATATTTCTTCCACTCCTTCTCTGCTTGAAGATGGTGCATGTCAACCTTGGGGGTGGGGGGTTGGCTGGGGAACAAAAAGAAGGAGCCAAACCCTCTTGCTGTGATGGGGCCACGATCCCCATCTCTTGCATAAATCACACATCCTCTTTGCTGCCAAAAGAAGGCAAAGCAGGCCTAGGACTCCCCGAGAAGGAGCACTGGGGCAGCTTCCTGTCTTAACAGGAAGTCAGGCTGGAGCTAGGCCATGCAGCCTTCCAGCTAGGCCCTTCGCCAGGTGTGCGAAAGGTGTCCATAGATGTGGGTCTCTGGGCTGGAACTCTCAGAATTCTGTGTGGTTTGTCAGCCAGACATTCCAGCATCTGTGATGAGAATTACACTTCTTGGCTCTCAGCAGGATATTGGCATTGTATTTAGCCTCTTCTCATTTTCCAGTTAGCGAAATAGCACAGTTTCTCTCTAGAGGAAGGAACTGGGTGACATGGATAACAAAAACATTAACTGGAGAGCACACGCTGACGGAGAAGGAGTGCTTGAATGACAGTTGATCTCCCTCAGCTCTGTGCCATTTGAGTCAACCATACAGAAAAGAAGCAAAACCATTGGACAGGAAGCTTTTAATTAAGGTTGCAGGAGGGCTCCGTTGTACAGGGCCCTTGTGACTAAACATAGCAGGATCTTGGCCATGCGGAAAGGCACTGTTAGGTGAAACTGCATTTTATTACAGTACGTGCCATGTGATGGTTGTAATTGTTATTCCAGTTTTAGGTGCTTGGGGAGAAGCAGTGCCTCACACCTCTGTTTGTGGAGAAGCAGTCTTTCCCCTGCTCCTAGGAAGTCTTGCTTACCAAGCTTTGCATAATGCGATATAATCTATGTTTTGTGTGATTCTTTTTATGGTTATGTTCTTTCTAGTCCAGAATACAATTGAATACTTTGCACCCCATTGTTGGTTCCCCCTCCCCCTCTTTCTGCCCCCCAGCTGCCAGCCAGATGACCGTGAGGACCTCGAGCCCCACTGCTCCTCCGAGGAGAAGGACCGCCTCCACGCCCTCTGCCGTGAGATCCTGCAGCCCAAGTACCAGGCGTGCCATAACATCATCAATCCACAACTTTTCATCCAGAACTGCCTCTATGACATGTGTGAATACCAGGGCATGGCCTCGGTGCTCTGTGACAACATTCAGTCCTACGTGGAAGCCTGCAAAAGCCAAGGCGTGACGGGCATCTCGTGGAGGAACAGCACCTTCTGTCGTAAGTTCTCTGCTGGGGATCGGTCGGGCCGAGAGGACAAGAAGGGGCGGAAAACCCAAGGGAGGAGAATTGTGGGTGGAAACAAAGATTTGGGGGCTTTTGTGGGACGTGGTGGTGCTGCGGGCTAGAACGCAGAAGCCTCTGTGCCGCAGGGTCAGAAGACCAGCAGTCGTAAGATTGAATCCACGTGACAGAGTGAGCTCCTGCCGCTTGTCCCAGTTCCTCGCCAACCTGGCCGTTCGAAAGCATGCAAATGCAAGTAGATAAATGGGTACCACCTTGGTGGGAAAGTAAAATCGCGTTCCCTAGTCACGCTGGCCATGTGACCACGGAAGATTGTCTTCAGACAAGCGCTGGCTCTGCAGCTTGAAAAACAGGATAAGCACCGCCCCCTAGAGTCGGACACGACTGGACTAAGAATGTCAAGGGGAACTTTTACCTTTTTATGATTCTCTTTCCCTTTCATTAAGAGTTTCTGGCTGCTTGACTGCTTCTTCCTGAGTGTGTCTGGGAGATTTGTGGTAAAGAGCCTTCTTGATCACTCCTTCATTAGTTTCTGTTTCATCAGGAACTGGTGGAAATTTTGATTAATTGGTTTCTTCTGTGCACCTCCCTGCCTGCCTCTTACCGTCTCAAGAAATTGTGTTATTTTTCAATCTATGGTAACAATATGCAGAAAATGTGGGGAATACTGCAATCAAAACTAACAGCCTCCTTTTCCATGATCTCAGTGCCATGTTCATAAAGAAGGGCACAACGACACCAGCAGGAAGCTGTTAATTCAAGGTGTAAAGGAGCTTTGGCCGAACAGAGTCCGCTCCAAATAAACGACATAAATGGACACTGCTGGCTGAAACGGCAGTTTGTTGAAGGACCTGTGGAACCTGGGCTTTGGTTCTCCATCTGGCCGATGGTCGCAAAGCCATTGGCCAGCCTTGTTAGGGGGCTCTGCTGCAGACGTGACCCTGTGCTTACCTCTTGGTGGATTTTTTTTTCCAGCTATGTACTTTGTGGTGGTCCAGAGAGGTTTTGGCAGGTACCTCTGGCTCTGGACGTCAGAATCACTTCTCACTGCTTCTTCCTTTCCTCCACTCCAGCTCTTCCCTGCCCGTCCCACAGCCGCTACACAGAATGCGCCTCTCCCTGCCCGGCCACCTGCTCCAACCTCTACGCCCCGGCCAGCTGCCAGCGCTCCACAACCTGCGTGGAGGGCTGCACCTGTGAGCCCGGCTACGTGCTAAGTGACAACAACTGTGTCGCCATGAGGGACTGCGGGTGCGTGGACTCTCAACAGGATTACTATAGCGTAAGTGGAGGAGACTCGCGAGGATGGAAGCAGGTCTCCAACCTGGTCCTGCCCTCCAGAGGTGTTAGCCTGTCTTCATGGCAGAGCTTGGAAAAATTTCCTCTTTAGGACCACAACTCCCAGAATCCTCCTGCCAGCTTGTAAAAGAAGCCACTTTTCTGAGCCCTGTGCATGATGCCCACCCCCTCTTCTGCCTTTCCAGCCCGGAGACACCTGGGTGACCTCTAACTGCCGTGAACGCTGCACCTGTGCGGGAAACGGAAATATCACCTGCCAGGACTTCCAGTGTCTCTCGGGATCCTTCTGCACTCTCAGTTCTGCGGGGCTTCGCTACTGTCGGCCAACCCGTGAGTGAGCGCAGCCACAGCCTGAGTCCATAGGGAGTGGAAAAAGCGGGGCTTTCCAGAGGCACAAGGGGCCGGGCATGGACAAGACCAGCTTTCCAGCCTATGGGAAATATATTTCTTCCACTCCTTCTCTGCTTGAAGATGGTGCATGTCAACCTTGGGGGTGGGGGGTTGGCTGGGGAACAAAAAGAAGGAGCCAAACCCTCTTGCTGTGATGGGGCCACGATCCCCATCTCTTGCATAAATCACACATCCTCTTTGCTGCCAAAAGAAGGCAAAGCAGGCCTAGGACTCCCCGAGAAGGAGCACTGGGGCAGCTTCCTGTCTTAACAGGAAGTCAGGCTGGAGCTAGGCCGTGCAGCCTTCCAGCTAGGCCCTTCTCCAGGTGTGCGAAAGATAGGTGTGTGAAAGGTGTCCATAGATGTGGGTCTCTGGGCTGGAACTCTCAGAATTCTGTGTGGGGAATTCTGGGAAGAGAAGTCCAAAACATCTGTGTTGTTATTATGAATTTTATTTTATAAAAAAATATATATTAAAAAAAAAGAAGTCCAAAACATCAGAACGATTCATCCTTAGCTGAAAGTACATAATTACTTTATGTGCACAATTAATTAATTTATGCATACCTAATTAATTGATTATTATATCTTATGCATCTGACAGCCAGTCTGGTCTACTGGCTAGAGTATTGGACTGCAGCTCAGGAATCCCGGGTTCAAGGACTCCTTCAACCAGGGCACTCACTGGACAGCCCTTGGCCGTTCACCGTCTCTCAGCCTGACCTACCTCATCAGGTTGTTTTGAGAGTAAGGAAACGGAGAGCCACCTAGGTCATCTCGAGCTCACTGGAGAAAAGATAGGATAATAATAATAATAATAACAACTGTGGCGACCCTTTTCGGGGGGGGGGTTCCAGGTAGAGAAGACTCAGAAGGGGTTCCCCCTTCTCTTCTTCTGGGGGTCGCCCTGGGACTCCTGTGCAGCTTTTGACCCCAAGGCCCTCCCAGGCTGGCTCTACTTTCAGCAGGGGACTGAACTCTCAGAAGGCAGATTCAGTCTGAGCAGAATCCAGGCATTTGGGCACAATACCCTGAACAGCACTCACTGTTCCATTCAGGTTGAAGTAAACATCCATGTATACATATATGAACAGACCCAGAGTTCAGGACCTCTGTTGCTGATTTATATATGCTCTCTAGATTGAGCATGTTAGCACTGGAGAGAGATGGGTTGGTTTAATTATGTGACTTACTTTTGTGGGGCTCTTTCGAAGGGCTCCACTTTACAATACATTAGATAGTTGGACAGGAGTGCCTCTGAGCATGTACAAAATGTTTGCCCACATTTTCTGTTCTCCCATCAGCCCCGTGGGCAACTGATGGCCTTTTCTCCTCCTTCCTTCCACCAGAATTCCACCAGTGTGTCATTTCTGGAGACCCGCACTATCGCACTTTTGACCACTTCGTCCACCACTTCCAAGGCCGGTCCACCTACACGTTGACCCAGACGCTGGGAAGCCTGCCGGAGGCTCTCGTCCCCCTCTCGGTGGCAGGCAGGAACCGCCGCCGCCTCCCCTTCCAGCGTTTCTCCTTCCTACGCGAAGTCTACGTCTCTGTGTACGGCTACCAAATCACCTTGATGCAGGGGCGCCATATGGCGGTGAGTCGCGATGGCTTCGCAGCTTCTGACGGTCAATATTGGTTTCACACCGTCCGAGACTCTGACTCCCCATGGAATTGCTTGCCTCTGACCTCTTCCTTTGCAGGCTCCCCCTTCTTGAGAGGAGGAATAAAATATAGACAAGAACAGGGGGTGCATTTTTTAAAAATGTACATGGAGAAGAATAGATGCATTTGAATTAAATGCACAAACCCAGTTGAGTTAATGGCGAGGGGGCATCTATTTAAAAAAAGCAGGACCACCACCACCAACAACAATTTATTTTCCCATCTTGAATGATATCATCATTGTTGTTTTTAATTTATTATGTTATTTTTATTGTTAGCCGCCCAGAGTAGACTTGGTCTAAATGGGGTGGGAGGGGATAAATAAATAAATAAATAAATAAATAAATAAATAAATAAATAAATAAATAAATAAATA